GGAAACTGAGCTCCCCATCCTACACAAACAAGTACTTCCATGCTTCATTTTCTCTGCTTTCATATTGACCCTATCTAAATAAAGATCTTTCATTTCTCTGACTCTGTCCCTCAGGGTAAGTAGTGTCTTGGTATTCAGCAAACCCATGGTGACCTGCAGGACAGTTCAAAGCAAGATGTGACACATTCAGCACTACTACCATGGTACAGTTCTGAGCATGGAAATTACTTTTCCCATGTTCCACAAAAGTTTTTCAACAATCAGCCTCTTGGACCAGAATTAGTATTTTCCTTTGTATAGTCTCTAACATGTGAGGATTATTTACTACTTATGACTCGCACACATTTGCAGGGCTACACTCACATAAACTTAATTTTTTATGTTGTTGTGAGTTTTTTGGCTGCTTCGAGTAAATGCAGATAAAAAAATCTCTAGTTCTAATTCATTGTTATCCTCATTAATGAGCTGCAGCTGTGAGCATCATCTGGCTCATTTTAGAACTCTTTAATTGCTGTATTACATCATGCCTTTCACTCAGTTTGTTTGTCAGGTTTGACTGTGATATGAAATATATGGATCTGGTTGCCACATGCTGGAATTTAACATAAACATCCAAGTGTTTACTCACTTCAGCAATGAGGGAGACTGGGATTAATTATCTTAGCAAGCTTCCAGTTTGTGATTATTAAAGTACAGTCTTGCTACCTGATGTATACAGCATGGTATAGAAGGCAGAATAGATGCAAATACAGGCAATAGCACACTCCCTTTGGGGAAAACAAACAAAAACCCCAAACCATCATTGAATGGCATTTTGGTTTCATCCTGTAACACTCCAGGAATCACAGACAGCTTCTTGCTTACCCTGATTATGTGCTGTCCAGATCTGAGTGGTTTGGAAATTAATGACAGTTTTTTTGACTGTGACAGGGAAGTAAACTGGAGAAATAAAGGAGGTGCATATGGAGTTGCAAATTAACATAAACTCTGTTGGCAGAAATAGAAGAGTGCAATTTATTTAGCTGTAACCTCTGCAACATTTGTGCAAGTAGACAGCAAAAGGCTGGAGTGGTGCCAGCACTTCTGTGATGTTAAGCAGTATGTGTTGCAGACTGTCAGGCAGTGCTGCCCCCTTACCTTTGTCAGGGAAGCTTTGTCTCATTGGATTACACAGTAGCAGCAGCTGCCTGACTCTAATGAAGACTTTGACTGATCCTGCAGCCTGGAGTGAAACCGGTTGTGCTGGCTGTGGCCATTATTTAAAAACCTTTCCAGGCTGCCAGACGTTTCTTTGCAGTTCTTTGGAGCTTAAAATGAACCAAATGTGATCCATCTCCAGATCAGGTACCTCACTGTCAGAAATTAATGGGCTTGCAGTAACAGATTAGCCCCATCAGAGCAGCTGGTGAAGGCGAGGAACTCTGTCAATTTTTGCGATCGCTGCCTTCTGCTGTTGCCAGTTCCGGAGAGCTGGTACCAGTTCTACCTTGGCAAAGGTTGAAAGTAACTCAGCTATTTTTAAACACAATCAGTCCATCTTTGGTTTTAAACATAAGTCCATTTTTGTTGGGCAACTGGCTCATCATCTCTTTTTCTGCTTGGAGTCCTTCAGCAAATATACGACAACCAAGCTTTCACCTGTACCAGTGTATTAGAGTAGCTCTAATTTAGTTGGTTCTTGTAGGACTTTGTCACTACCCTGAGCCTTCCACTGGGAGAGGATGAGTCTGATATTGTGACAGTGCTGCTCTGGGAAGGTTTGCTTAGTCTCTGTTGTCACTTCTCTTCCATTGTAATAAATAAAAGCTCTCTTCTGTTGCTATCAAGGGTAAAATGTACTCACAAAAGAAAAAAGCAATTCCTGCTTTCCAGTTTTAACACCAGATATTGCCCCCAATTATATTATTGTCAATTAAAAAGATGCTTTCACCTGCCTGTTCTCACTAAGTGATCACCACTGGTTCTTACCTGGTTTCTTTTAGAGACTTCTCCTAATTCCTTTATCTAGAAAATGCCCAAGCAGTTAGTTTTTAATAGTTTCCTATGCATTACCATGATTAACAGATAAAAATGCATCTCTGCCATTTTAGCTGTTATATCTGTATTGCATTATAAATTGCATTCAGGTTTACCCAGTAAAAAATGATAGCTGGGAGAGTCAAGACTGGAATATTTGCATGTTGCTGCAATGTTCCCAATATGACAACCTGAATAATTTAAGTACTAGTGTTCTAGAAGTGTCATGCTATAAGGTGTGGTACTTCTCTTTACAAGGCAGCAACATTAAGTCTTTTCTCCAATTCTTCATTTATAAATGTATTTCAAATTACCAGACCTGTACTTGGATACATTACATATGTTGTTAAAAAATCTGTTATGGCTGAACTACAGTTGAACCAGGGGCTAGTCCTTGACCACAGCTTTGAGCTTTACAATTTGAACATAAATTATTCTAATAAAATATATTCTAATTATTCATAAATATGAATGCTACATATACGTTCGTACCACAAATCCAAGCTAAATAACACTCCTCCATGAGAATATATTTTAAAAAGTTATTTGCTGCATTAACAAGATCAATGTATTTCTTTAATGTTTAAGTGTGATTTGGAATGAAGATCTTTTTAGGATAAACAATATAATCACAAGAACAGCCAGATACTGTATCAGAAAACTGTTTTCATCCCTAAAATAATTTGACAAGTGCCTTTGTTCCTGCCATAGCCTTTGCCTTAGTTCAGATGGAGGATGTATAAGATAAAGGTCTGGGGCACACAAGCTCAGGGAGCAGTAACCCAGAACTGTCACTGCTCAGGTGAGGGTGGAAGCCTCACTCCTGCCAGGGCACATGTGGTGTGAAAATCCAAGTGTCTGCCTCAGGCTGCAGGGCTGTGTTTGTAGGACAGAACAGGGGCCCCTGCCCTCTGGGAGGTGTTCCCACAGGATCAATGTGCTGCAGTGCCATTTGTTTAAAGGATTCCCTGTCATTTCCCCTGTTGACTCTTCTGCTTCCTCAACTCCTGCCCTTCCGATTCCTCTGGCAGCTGCTTCACAGAGAGCCCATGGGTTTTGACAACTGATTACTCAAACCCTCAGCTGGAAATAAACATCCTTTTGAGAGGGAAGGCAACTAGGAATGAAAGGAGTAGCATCTGAACTTAAGGGACAAACAATTATGCTTTAAACTTATTGTCAGTAGTCTTGTATTTTATATGTAGAAGCACCAGATGTTAATGAATAAAAGCAATGGAAAAGCTGTCGCTGTCGACATGACAGCAGAGCTACATTTTTGACCCCTTGTTTTGTGCCTAGTGGATGGTGGGATGCTGTGAAACTCAAATTAATGTGGTTGTTTTTTCTGTCACTGGGACAGGTTCTTCAGTGCACATGGATCAGCCTTGCTGCCAAGCTCTCTATGACTTTGAGCCAGAAAATGAAGGCGAGCTTGGGTTTAAGGAAGGGGACATCATAACTTTGACCAATCAGATTGATGAGAATTGGTATGAGGGGATGTTAAATGGAGAGTCTGGCTTCTTCCCCATTAATTATGTTGAAGTGATAGTTCCCTTGCCTCAGTGATTGTGTCATTTGAGCTGTGAACATGATTTCATGACTGAAATGGATTCACAAATGTTCTGTCAGTGTGGCATTCTGTGAAAGCCTTGCTGTTTGACTGACTTACTGACTTTTGTATGCGTCTTTTTAAAATGTATTTATTTTATATTCAAAAAAATTTCACCTTCCCTGATTTGTCAACCTGCAAAAAAACCCATACCCAGTTTTTTTGCTTTGTGCCTTGAAGATCACTGTATGAAGTGTTTACTGGTAGCTCACTGTTGCTCCAAAAATGCATTTCCTTGCTATTATTGTATGTGGATTTTTTTTATCTTTGGCTGCAATGATTTTACTATTGAAAACCATTTTAAAAAGTACTGTTAGTGAAGCTAACTGTAACCAGTTCCTAAGTTACTGATGTCATTGAGCTGTTTTCATCTATCACACCGTAATTTATTGTGCACAAGTTAATTCATCTTTTGCATTGTATGTTGACAAAAGGCAAAATGGTTGTTGTCAATATTAAGATGATGTTGTACTAAGTACAAGTTCTCAGCATTGAAAATTGGTATAATTTACTGATCAAACTGAATAAATATTTCTGTGGGATAAGAAGAGTGGTTGCTGCTTCTGTACTGGTGGTGCTGGCACTTGTTTGAGCAGGAGGCCACTTTTGCTGAACAGATCAGCTTTCAGTGACAAAAACAATGCCAAGTTAAAAAATACATGAATAAGGAAAGTATTAGTTTGATGACACCTTCTGCACTGTAGTTTTAATAATCTTGCCCTTTTTCTATTGATAGTTTAGCATTTATGTCTGTTAACATCTTTTTCTAGCAGAAGAGGGAAATTCCTTGGAATTAAGTATAAACTGCTCCTAGTTCCATAGGGTTTGTATGGGATTCCAGTGAGAGAAAGGGGTGAGAGAAAGGCACTGATGCCTGCTGCACACAAATGAAGTTAGTACATTTCTATTTCTTATATTTAGTTGAAAGGGATGGAAAGGAAGAGAAAGGGAAGAATAGGCAGTGATGGAAAGACATGTCATAACTAAAAAAATACTAGAAAAGCTTCAAAATTAAGGAAGAATTCTGGCATCAGAAGTACTTACCCAAATGAAGATAGAATCACTGTTTTTCTGTTTACCATCTCTGCTTTGCTTAGTAATGGAGTAGTGACCAAACAAAGTGAGCAGCCCTGGAGGAACATGTAGCCTTTTGCCAATTGTTCTCTATATAAGACAAATAGATGAGAACTGAATTCTTTACAGCCAAGCTTGCTACTGAAGATTCCTCTTAAGCACACAGCAGTTCAGCTCCAGTTGCAGTAAGTGATAAATATAAACAGGAGAGCAGAGTGCATTGCCGAACATTTCTTCACTCTACAGTCTCTAAAATTACCAATTTTACTACTTCACAGTATTTTGAACCACTCCACAGAAATAATTGAACAGACAGACCTTTATTATTTAATCTACAAATACTTAAATCCAAGACTGCTTTTATATACATGAAAAATATCTTTAATAGTTAAAAAAGTTTTAAGAAATAAAGATAAATACAGCAAAGTTAGAGCAGCAGCTATTTATATTGTTTGAGGTGGAACAAGAATTTGGATCTGCTAAAATCCAAGTCTTAAACCAGCATCTACTCTTGATGTCTCAAAATTAGAATTTTTAAATAATGTCAGAGTTTAAGCTAGCATAAGGAAAACCCCACCTTAACACCTGCATCCTAACACAAAGCAGGTCTTGAATTTGGAACTGAACACTTTGGCAAGTTAAGAGACAATCAAAACACTACTCCAGCATTGAGAGAAAGCTGCAGGCTCAGCTGCTCCCCTCCTGCTCTCAGGTGGAAGTTTACTTCATGTGGCTCAAAGCCCTTTCTTTCCTCCAGGGCCAGCGGGGGAGCAGTTTGGAGAGCCAGAGTGACTGCAGCGGGCCCGAGGCTGACTGTCCCCTCCCGGGGGTTACAGGACAGGCTTTCCACGGAGCACAGAGCTACCAGAGTGACAGGGAGCTGCACACACTGGCCCATAACCAGTTTTCCCCAGCAGTCCCATTAGACACAGCTGCGGCCTGCATGGAGATTTAGCACATAAGGGCTCCCAGAGCAAGGAGTTTGATGTTTTTCACTGCAGTTGGGGCTTTCTAGTTCTGATTTTTTACTTAGCATATTTTTCTCTCCAGCCCCTTAGAAAGCTGTTTGGACCAATCAAACAGTGCTAGCAGCACTGGTCTCAGTACCTGCTCTGTAAGAATGAGATGTTTTTCACATTTCCAGGATACATTTTTCCAAGTTAAGGCTGGCACAGCTCTGCTGTGATACCCTGCATCTAGGAATATACAATACTGAATCAGGGACTTCCAGCTGCTGGGCTACAGAAACAGTACATTTAATACCTTTATACTTTATAATTTTATAACTTTTGAATATTTTTTACAATTTGCTTTTAATTCTAAAGTGTTTCACTCTAGGAAGTGATCCAGACCATGTAGTATGTATTTCTGCATTAGGAGCTGAGCAGGAAACATTTCAGACACTCATCACTCTTCTGTACAATGTTTTACTTCAGACTTGCTCAAGGTGCAAGGGTGTGATCAGTCCCATGTTTCCCACTCAGACTGGAAAGAGAAATTACCTTTGGAGAATACCCTATCAGAATATTGAGAAAGCTGAGGCAGCCTCATGTTCATTGTCAAGTGTTTAAGATCCTGTTAGGGCACATGTTTAGAAGCTTTGTAAACTCTGTACCCTCCTCTGTTTCAGCAGGTCAGAGAAACCGGATCCTTGTGTAAAAGTAAAAATAAAAAATAACTTCACATGGAGCTTGTATTCTACTGCTCTTTGTGTATCAGTGAATCCAAGGCCAGGGTCCAGTATCAGAAGGTAGCAAATTCCATCATGTTATGGACAATGCTTCTCACAAAGACATCAGATGGAATATGTGAATTCCAAATTTCAGATATTACAGAAGATACCAACACACATACAGTCTATGTCACCTAACACTGAGAGGTGTTTTCAGATGGTTGTCCATGTTACATGACAGAACAGCTGGGATCTTCATTTTGCTGCAGAGAGAGAACATGAAAACATTAGGTTAATTAGCACATGCACAAACTTAATATTTCTTGTTGGTTACCTACTTGATCCTCATATAGGCAGGAAGGGTTTTTAGCACTTTGTAGATTTAGTTACTTATTAATAAAGCAAAGCAGATTTGCAAGAGGCAGTACATGAACTGAACTACACAAGTCTAAGTCCATGCAATACATGAACCTGTGCCTTCATTAATGGAAGGCTGACAGACTGCCCATCACTATCTCACTTCCCAAGCATCAGGACCCAAGTGCCATGCAGATCCGTGCTGCTCTCATTAGGATGGTCAAAGCAGAAGCAAAACATGGAAACACTGCCTTCCTTTAAAGCACAGCATGCATTCTTCCCATTATTTTACTGCATGCAGTTAAGTTAACTTCTGTTTACTAAGCAGCCATTTCAGAACTACCAAGGCAACAGAAGCATATAGGTACTAATGTCAAAAGTTGGATAGAAATTCAGCAAACAGGAATGACATTAAAATTTGATTGAAAGTATGAGAACTGACTCTTACCATAAGTGGCACACAACTGTATTGTAAAGTTGCTGATAAAACAGATTAGAAGTGTAAGGAAAAAAGTTACTTTTGCTTTCCATCACTGATTATTAAAGAAGTTTTAAGTGAACTCAAAAAATGCCTTTTAAAATAAAAAGAAGCCACCCTTGAGGAGAGGTCCTACTCTGAGCATGAAAAGAAGCTTGTATAACTAAGAGCCCAAAGGGCAGAACAGCATTATAGACCTTCTCAATAGCCTGTTTAATGGGGTCTCACCATCCTAAATGAGACTGAAAATATTACAAGAATGTGCATGCAAGTCAGGAGACTGAAAAACGTCCCTTAAGCCACATGGTATTGTAGTAACAGATATTTATCCAGATTTTCTGTTTGAAAGGACAATAAAATAAAACCAGCAGGCAGTAGCTGCCTATTTAGGTACGTTTTCTTCCAGAAAGACAGTTCTCTAAGGTACTTTTAAGTTAGTTTTCAGACAGATACATTATGAAAATATCTAGGAAAGGGTGGTGGGGGCTTTAACCTAGTTCAGTAAGATGTGACTCTTCCTTGTAACTGTGTAGCATCAGTTTTTGGAAGAGCTGAACATTTGTCAGCAGGAAGGACAGTTTTTAGCTAAGCATCCCCTTGCTCTCAGGCTTTGGAGTTTGTACTATAGTACCATTTCAGGTCAAGACACAAACCAACTTGAGTCAAGTACAGTCTATAATTGTTTGGTTAGGACCAACTTAAAGCCCTTATTAGTTTAGACTACATCAGCAATTAAAGATAGCTAATAGCATATCGAAGTACCGTAGGAGCATCCAAACTGCATCAGTTCAGACTTGTATTATGGTCAGTCAAAAGCCATTTTCAGGGGCTGGATAGTCTTGCACAGGGTATTACACCATGCAAGTTTGTAGCCAAAAGTTTTTAAGTATATTGACCTTAAGTTCACATCGCAATCATCTTAAAAGCAAGCCAGGGACACTGGAGTGTAAAGTCACTTCATCCCAGAGATGTAGTTAGTGTTTGCATTCTGTTCTGGGATAACAGCTTTAACTCACAGTGAAATATTTAGATGAAATGGACATTAAAGGTTGTATTTCCAGTGTGTCAGTAATAAGATATTAAATAATTAATGAGTTTGATCATACTCAGAGAAAAAGCAAAACTTTAGTTGCACTTCTGATGCAAAGCCATGCAAGCTACATCCTATGTGGGACAAGAGACTGCAGCACTACTGATGAAGCAAGTTTTCTATGAGGTGACAAGCATGATTCTCACCATCTCACCTGCTTAAGGATGCTCACAGGAACCACTATCATGAAACCAAACAACATTTCTTTTTCCTTCTTCTTTTGGTCTGACATCAAGAAAAACATTAAGAGTTGCGGGATGTGAAGAGTACTTGAAGCAATATTTTCATTTAGTAAGGAAAAGAAGTGGCCATTGAATGACTGCTGACAGCATGTATTTAAACTTCATGCAGCTTACCTGAGATGCAAACTCTGCTTCACTTCCAGTTATTTCTTCATAATCATCATCATGCTCACTTTCTTCTCTGGGTACAAGCATTATCTTCCTCTCTGCGAGTTCCTAGAATACATTTGAATTGCCATCAAGACCCCCCAGGTATTAAACACAGACAAATTTAGCATTAGGACAGTATAGAAGTGTTTTATTGTTTTACTTACCTCACCATCATCTGTGATGAGTGTAACACCAATATTATCACCAGTTCCCCAAGACTTCTGAGACTTCCAGACCAGATCACTAGGACCTGGGCTTACACCAGCAGCTGCACCCCAGATCTGCAACAGATTTACAGTGAGCTTCTGAAGAATCTTTTTCTGTAGTTAGATTACAATTCAGTCTAACATAATAATTATATAAGTATTTTAATACCAAAGACAACCAGTAGGAGAAACTGATCCATGTAATCCCTGGCAAGTTAGTTCTTTTCAGGACTACCAAGAATGGTGGTAAAGCTTTTCCCAGCTGAAGACTGTAAAACAGAAAAGACTATCAACAGCTTCTGTCCAATGTAGAGGTAGCCCTGCTTGGCCATACAGAACATCTGAGTCACAGAGCCAAGCCACAGTCACAGACAGGCTCGGGGCAGCAACTTGGGCGTGCAAGAGCCTCTCACCTGGGATCACTCAGATCCATTGAACAAACTCCTCCACAGTTTGGAGCAGCAAGTACAGAGTTCACTCTTTGATCATCATCTACATGTACCTGGAGTATGATTTTAGAGCTAGTGTGTTGCTTAGTACTACAAATAATGAGTTCAGCATTGCTAACCTGGAGTAGACTAAAGACCTGAGTAAGAGTGTGAGTCTCTACACAACTTTTATCAAATCACAGGTGTATGGGAAACCCTAAGAAAAAATCTAGAATACAACAATTCTGTTTACAATTAGAGAACACTCCAGTTTGGGATTATCCAAGATCAGTCCAAGCTTTAAAGGAAATGTAATTAGCATTTCAGATCAGGTTGCTTTAAGGATTTTCCCCATACCTATCTCCACATAAAAGCTTTTCTTTAGGCTCTTGGAGTATCTATTTAGTTTTCCATATTACAGGAATCTCTACTGACATGTAACATAAGAACAGAGCTCTGAGGAAGTTTCACAAACCCAATACCTACTGTAACTTCTTGGCCTGCCTGAAGAGTGAACCGTGAAGGAAACTTGTAGGTAACATCTGCCACACTTCCAATTCGTCGTCTCAACACCCAGCCATGTAGAGGTTGATCCTGTGGGACAAGAAATTTCTCTCAGCATTACAGAGCAACACTATATAATACAAATACAAGGTTCTCTCCAGACTCATGGGCCAGTTTTAATTCCACTCATGTAGCATCCAAGTATCTTGACAATTTTGAGGAAGCAGCTGCATTTCCATTAAAACCTCCCTATGTTTTCTCCCTATACTTTAGGATTAATCTTAGTCAAGTTAAGCCACACCTATACTCTTACCTTCCATTAATGGGAGGGTCATGGTACTCTTTACCAGGGAGACTGTGAAATGAAGTTTTCCGTGGCCACCTACCAACTATACATATAAACACCTTGAAACTTCACAGGTCACTCTGTATTTCAGGCTGAAATGGCTAAACTACAACCCATATGTTTTGAAGTCCTGATGATGAATTCTAATAGCTCTGGATTTGTAAACTAAACTAGTGGAAGAATTAGCTAATTGGCCAGATAAACCCTCTGCATAGATTAGATATCACCGACTACTCAACCTTTTTAGCTGCTTTAAGTATTTTTTGACTAACACAAAGCCATCATTATCCAATTTACTAGAGTTCCCTATTTAGCTCATCAAGGGTAAGCAGTAATGCTGGTAGTGCTAGCCTGAATCTGATGACAAACTGCTGAAAGTGGTCAATTTCTGCATAATAGAACCCCCTGCACCTCCATCCAAAAGCACCTCCAGACATCTCTGGGAACAGAGCACCTGCAGTACCAAAAGGTCAGTGTCTAGTCTGTCACTAAGCTAAAGCCATCCCCAGGCAGTCATACATTGCAATGCAGTCTTGAAAATGGAAGTACCTCAGCAGAGTGATTTTTAAGCCTGACAAATTTCCCATCTGCATCGATCTCTTCAATAGATATATTTCCAGTAGCTGAAACATGCTGAATAGTCTTAAATGCAGCACTATGCTCTCTCTTTTTGGTTTCTTTGATCTTCCTTTTCTTCCCATGCAGGAATCGTCGCCCCTGACTTGCTGCTTGAGTTGCTGTGCTGTGTGAAGATGGACTGGGTGACAGCTTTAGCCTAGAAGAGAGTCGGATAACATTCACCTGGAGTATCTGATGTGCTTTGTTTCTTTTTATGCCTACCCTCCCACTACATCCAAGCCTAACAGCTTCCTATATCCAAGCTTTCCATGGGGTCTTGAATACAAAATTTTACCTTTTTTGGCAAGAGTAGCTAAGTGGTTCATTAAGTTTGGAAGACAGCCTCAGAGTTCAGAGCAAGCTTATATCGATAAGAGAAGATTCACAACTGCACTAAGTATTCCTTTAAAGTCTCAGCAGACACAAACTTTAGCAAAAGTAATTTTAACTTTTTGACCCTTCTTAGCATGTACTGAGAGTTCATGTTCTCACCATGCATGCAAGATACCACATCTGCATAGACAGGAGTTGATCCAAGTTCCCAGCTTCATTCTTGGAACTTAAATGCTCTTTAAGATGTAGACAAAGCTTTGAGAGAGTTGAGGAATGCTTAATGGACCTTTGAGTTTTATCAGCTGGATTTATGAAGCTACTTCATCTTACTATACCATGTGGTAGATATGGGATATAAATAACATTTACAGAAGATGATGCTTCAGTAACTGAATTACTATATTAATGACATGCTCAGTGTTTGTTTCTTGTCCCCCCACATTCTGAAGGATAAAGAGAGAGAGGTCTTGAATGAAGCAAGTTCTCATAATGAAGGTCTTGTCATAGCCTACCTCTGTTCCTCTCCTTCCAACATCTTTCTGTATGCATTTATTTCCAAGTCTAGAGCCAGTTTCACATCTAAGAGATGCTCATACTCTTCTAGCTGTGCTTGTGCCTGCTTCTGAGCTTGTGCCATTTCTTCTTCCTTTTCAGCCATACGCCTTCGATGGAGATCACAATCATAATCCAGCAAATTCTGTAGCTCCTTTATTCTGCTCTCCAAAGCAACATTCTAAAATTATGGAAGGGTGGGGTGGGAATAAATAAATCAAACCTTAAGTGAAGATTAGAGGGAAGAGGCCAATATTTTGAATTAAGAGTAAATTAAAGTAATTATAAGGTTATACAAATAAAGACAGAACCTGGCTTTGATATTGATTAACTTGAGATACCAGAGTATCAACTCTCTTCTGTGTTTCCTTCAGCTCCTCCCGAGCAGCATTGGCAAACTCACTGTTTCTTGCTGCATCTAGCTGGGCATTCTCCACCTGTGGATAAGTCAGTGTTAGTTCTGAGTTGCACATTAGCATGTATTACAAAGGAGGAAGGAAAACCATGTAATTTTCACCTTTTACATCTGGAAGTAGTTATCTTTTACTGAGGTGTGCAGATACCAAAAAAGTCCAGGTCAGAAAGTTCTGTATTGCTCTCCAGGGAGGTTTACACAAGTTGGACTTTTTTTTCCAAAAAAGTCAGCAATAATCAGGTAGTGAAAATTTCTGGATTAGGATATCTCAGTTAGTAATGTATGAGGACTGTGTATGGATATTAAGTAAATTGATTCTCCAGAAGACCAATGGAGAATATGTTTAAAAGCTGCTTGTCAAAGCATAGAGCTGCAGGATATTGGGTGTACAAATCAAACTATTATCACTCTTCTCCGAAAGGTCTATTAAAGAGTTCCTGCATCTTTACAAGCAGCACTGAATCACTCTACAAATACTTCAATTTTGAAATGTCCCAAGAAAGGATGAAGTGCTCCTTCAAGAGGGGCTTACAGAATTTTCAGTGGAAACAGCAACACAGTCATCCAAAGGAATTCCCTGAGTTGGCATGCAAGTTGGTGTGTAGGAAAAGTTAAGTTTTATTTAAGACTGAAATTGCTTAATACAAACATATCACATCTTGGTCCTGAATTCATCAGAAGTCTGAAATATGATCAACTTCTCTTAATCACTCCCTATATTTATGCTTGAACCAGTTTTGTTTGGGATCAAAAGTTTGCAGAATCCTACTGTCAAGTTTGACACTGCTTTGAAATTCCTTAACTTATGCCAGGAAGCTCTGCAGTGAATGCAAGGCCCCATCCATCCGCCGTCTATGCCACTGTGACCTTAATTATGTCAAGGTGCAGAGAACTTCAGTTTTGTTTTACTGTCATCTGCTACAAACTCACCTTTGCACTGAATGTTCGCTCCATCTCCTCTTTGTAACCTTGAATTTGTTCTTCATGTTGTTTTCTGAGGCCCTGCAGAGCATCTGAGAGCTTACTCTCAAATTCCCTTTGACGACCAGATTCTACTTCTGCTATCCTGCTTTCATGGACTCTTTTTGTCTCTTTGAGCTCCTAGGAGGAGAAATTTCTCAGAATAAACAAGCCAATACAGTTTGAAACTGGATTTAGTGTACCAGCTTCACAAGTCCTTCCCTGTTGAAGCAGATTTATCATTGAGTACACAGTAATTCATCTTTATGCATATCTTACTAATTCCTTAAATCTGTTACATCCACCTTGCTGCCTTACTATTGCTTTTCCACCTCACTGCCAATATTGCTTAAACTAATAAATGTAGTAAATAATTGGTAAGACTCATTCTTTGAACTAGATAGTTTGTTGTTTTTTTTAAACTTAGAACACATGCATTTACAGTTCAGTTTCTTCAAGCACCGTTACTTCACCTATTCTTACTTTATTCAAAAAGTAATAGCAGTTGGGTAGAAAAATTAGAATTCTCTATCAAGCCATACACTTTGAGATTCCTACCAGTGAGAAGGAAGTTGGTTTGCATTCATATGTAAACTATTAATTTAGTTGTATGTATCTGAGAAGTGTTAAGGAAGTTGAGAAAACAAGCTGCTTAAAGGAGATTTAACTTCTTCACTTACTTTAGGCTTCAAGTAAACATCTGGCATCATTTAACAGTAACTAATATATGCACTATCACTTACACAAAGTAATATATTTGGATTTCAGTTATCTTTAGAAGAGCAGCCTAAGAAATTTCTCATATCCCAGATACCTATTGGTACTATTGCAGTTAACATGAGGTTGGGTACTTTCTTGAGCCTTCCTAGTTAGGTGGTTATGAGCTGATGGGCTGCCATAGGTTACTAGTTACCTTTTTAGAGATAATAGCAATGTTAAGATGGGCTTTAAGTACATCCAGGGATCATGGACACCTAAAAAGATGCCATGTTAATAAGCTAAAACATACATCTTCATGAAGGCGCTTCTGGAACGTCATTTCTTCCTGCAAAGTTTTCATATGGTTTTCTAGGTCTACCCTCCTCAACATTTCGCTGTGGAGATGCTTTTTAGTATCCTCCAGTGACAGATTCAGCTAGAAAAGACAGACAACAGGGTTATCAAAATTAAGAGGTATTTTTTTCAAATTAGGTAGCCCATTTGTTACAGATCATTCAACTTAATTACAGTAATCAAAACACACTAGTTGAGTGAAGTAGGTTACTCTGTGGAACTTCTTATGTCATGGGATCAAAATATCAGCAACAGATAGAATCCTATTTAATTGTAATGTGCCAGATTTCCCACAAGGCAAATATAGAACAGCCCTTAATCCTACCACCTATACTGGACTCCTCAAAGTAGACTTCTGTACAATTGTACTATCCATATATATTCCTCCCCTTTAAAACTGTAATTATTCCAAACTTCTAATATAATTTTTTTGACACTTAATCTTCCAAATACAGCCTATGTTGACAAACTAATATACACTTTCAGTATTATACACTTCCCTGATATGTCAAAGAATGCTACAGGGACTATAGCAGTACATTTCATCTTGCTTTGACTTTAGAGCAAGAAACATTACATCCTATGGTCATAGAATTAAAGGTACCTACAGGTACCTACAGGTAGAAGTTTTAAGGAAACCACCATCAGCAGCATTTGCTGTCAGCAAGGTTGTGGAAATCTGTCTACCTGTCACTGTCATAGTTACAAGGCTTTCTCTGCTTTTAAATATCAATAACTAATTGAGAGAAATCAAGCAAAAAACTCCAGGAGCAAAAAGCAAAGTTCAGCTTCCAATAGCAAGCCTTACACTGAGTACTTGATCCTTTAATTCACGGAGCTCATTCTCCAAAGTCCGGTTCTCATTCAGGGCTGTTGCTAAATCAGCTTCCTTTGCATTTAGCTGGGCATCGAGGTCTCTCACACGAGCCTGGGCCAGGTTTAAATCACTTTCTTTTTTGGAATTCCTACAAGGGAGAGTTTTACGCTGTTAAGTGCAGCTAGTGAGGGATAGTTCTCAATGCGTTTCCCTTCTGAGGGGTCTGCGGTTAAACACAGGAGAGGTTTGTCAGGCTCACGGTGAGAGCACAAAACAAACCAGACAGGGCCCTCCGACAAGCATCATTTGTTATACCAGAGAGATTCCTGACCCATTTTCCAGCTCGTTCAGTGCGAAGCCCATGCGGAAGCCAGCTATTTTCCACGGCATTCCCAGCGGGAGAGGGAAGGGACGGCACAGGCCCCCGGCTGCAAGGGGAGGGCCGGGCACGCTCATAGACCGGGGCCGGCCGGTCCTTCACGGCCACCCCCGCAGCAGAGGCGGCCCCAGCCCCGCAGGAAGCGCCTGAGGGCAGCCGGGCCCCGAG